GATTCGCACATTATTTATTCGCGTCCATTTTCATTATTTCATAACTCGAAAAGTCAAACAAGTAGTTTCCTTTCTGTGATCTTCGTAGAATCTTCACAAAGTGAGAACTCATAGATAGGAAAGAAGGCCAATCGTATATCCAACATGCGATTCTTCGTCCACAGCATCCGTCGCAAATTTAGCTGATCTACGATCTTTAGCTTCATTACGTTATTTCGTGTCACGCTGTTAACAGTGTTAATCCATTGAGATCGCACGAGTCTGATTCGCAATGTGAACTTATATCCAATATGAAAATAATGAGTTGATTTAATAAAAAACTTATTATCCTTTAAGGTATATGAATCTTTATATTTATACACTAAGGAAAAAAGATTTAAGCCTAGTTTCACAACTCATGATTAATTTTTAGCCGAGGTTCAACGTATTTCTCATCTCTTTTTAATTCTAGAATTGGAAAGAAGTAATGAATAAGTTAAATTTCGGTTAAGAGTAGGTTTATTCTTAACTATAGGTTTATTCTTTTTAGCTAAAGTTCTTGCACAGTTCATCTTTTCTTTTTTTCTTTCCAACATAGAAAGAAAAAGAAGAAAGATGAAGTTCAGCTAAAAAGAACAGGTCACATGAGTTATGAAACTGGGCCTTAGTGTCTTCAGCAAAATTGTTTTGGTAGAAATATTTTTTAAAAGCAACCAAATATTTTGTTTATATAACAAAAATGTAGTTACTTCTGCAATAATTTTTTTGCTTTGTAAATAACAAAAATATTTGTTTATACCAACTAAACAATTTAATTCGCATAATTTAACAGTTTTATTCGATACTAAAAAATTTTTGTTTCAATTTTCAAAAATTTTAGTTCAAAGAACAAAACATTTTTTTCTAGTGATTTGTTCCTGACGAGAAAGAAATTTACGCTTGATTTTTGTAATTTTTTAGTTTTATGAATAATGAAAAATGTTTCTGGCTTTGACGCTCGGGAAAAACAATCTTCATGGATCTATTATAGTCTGCCTTTTGTTATAGATTTGCACTAGATTACATTGGAACTCTTTCTCGCTTTCGCCAAACATATATACCTATTTCACTTTAAGTTCCAAAAGTGTATACTAGTTCAGTCATAGAAAAAACAGGTCTTATGTATTCGTTGCGTATGACTCCTTCTCAATACAATAAGAAAGTCTTATTTTTTATCGGAGTAGCGCAAACTTTCAGAGTGAAGAATTAAGAGAAATATATGGATGACTTGAACCGAACTTGAATTAATTTAATCATTAATTATTAATTATTAATTAATTATTAATTAAATTAAGTATTTAATTCAACTCATTAAGTAACGTCTGCATTTTATTTTGTAATCATGTTTTGTTAATACACGAATAGAATTATTAAATCATTTACTAGAATTATGAAATTTTTGTTTATTGTATCGAAAATAAGATTAAGAACACAATTATATATTAGAGATTTTATTTTATGCAATTCGAGTTAACTGCCAATTAAATTAATCGGAATTAAATTAATCGAAATCGTCTCGTATAAAAAATTATTGTGTTCCTTCGCTCTGTTCTGCTTGATTTCATATCTTCGCACATATCAAATATCATTTTAAATTTGTCAGCAGTTTCTTAACTGATTCATGATAAATATAAATATATTGACAGTAAAGTTGTGGATCTCATGCACAGACGAAAATATTTGTATACATTCTGTTCGGTTTCATTTTTTTTTAAATTTTTTTATTCACATTCTTGTTTATTTTAGTTCAAATAAATCGACGCAACTGTAAATTCAATGATTAGCGATAGAAAAGTATTCTCTCGGAGAGATGAATGTATAATATATTTCAGTCTTGCCCTTAGTAATTTATTCGTAAGAAAAATCTATATTTCTCTTTCATGATTGAAAAACAGAACACTTATTATTGTAATCCCTATCAATATTAATATCTTTAGAAATTTTAGAATCGTAAGTTAAAATCGTACAATCATAAGTTAATGTTATAATTTTTCCTTAAAATTATTACTTCTACAAATTATATTTCTTTACATAGATTTAGATAACATAATAAAAGTATCATCCATTTGACTTGCTTCATAAAAATTAATATTTATAAAAATAATTCGATTTTTCTTTTCTAATAAATAAGTTACATGAGTTTATATTTGTTTTTGCGAGTTTTGTCTAGCTTTGAGAACCAATATTCAATCGAACTAGAACGTAAAATAAGTAAAAAAAAAGATAACATTACTTTCGTATCTATATGTAGTTTGTAACTGACACAGGAAAACTATCTTATTGCAGAAAAATATGATGCAATTTCTCGCGTGATGTGAAAGAATCGATTTGTTGTAAACACAAATATAACTGTTCTATATTATGACATTTGTGACGTCAGTACGATGTAAAATGATGAAATCAGTTGCGAAATGCAGGTTGCGCAAATGTGATGAGAAAACATAGTTGTAGCATTGAACAAACGTAAGATATGTGATTCTATCAGTCCGCTGGGGGTCAATAGTTTACAAGGGCAATGCAGATAATACATAAAGAAGAATTATGAAAGGATCTACTCTCTCTTTAGGCACTTTAGTAGGATATACAATACATAATTTATATATAATATATCTACATGAAAAACCTTTATAAATCAAATATAATATATTAAGTTTCATGAAAGAGTATATATTTAAATCCAGAGAAAAATTTAAATTTTATTACATTATAATTATTAAAACTTATTAATGGTACAATATGAGAAATACATAATAATTCAATATTGATAAGAACGTTTATGATTATCATGTTTTTTTATGACTTTTTAATCCAATCTATTTGTCTTAATTATCTTAATTACTCCTGCTAAACTTAACATATTTTATTTGTGACAGATCGCAATGGAAACATTTCACGATAAAGATAGCGAACATTGTGCTGAAGCAATGTCTCGTCTTTCCACGGAAGAATCAAAATGTACGAAACCACGAAGCAAAGGTGAAACCAGGGAGCAAAGATCTACTGGTCTTACACACGAATGCGGTGTTTTCGGATGTATAGCTGCAGGCGACTGGCCATCACAAATTGATGTTGCTCAAGTTATTTGTTTAGGTAGATTCGTTTTGTATGTGATAGAAATTAACTGAAATAAAAAAGTATATAAATGTATATACAATAAGAGAGAAAAAAATACGAATCAGAAGAAACAATTTTCATTCAATCTTATTTTCATTCAATTAGGTTTAGTGGCGTTGCAACATAGAGGTCAAGAAAGCGCTGGAATCGTAACAAGCGAGGGTTTCTGCTCCAAGTCATTCCATGTTCATAAGGGTATGGGAATGATCAATAATATTTTCAACGACGAGATTATGAGAAAACTCAAAGGAAATCTTGGAATTGGTCATACCAGATACAGTACAAGTGCAGCCAGTGAAGAAGTCAATTGTCAACCATTTGTAGTACACACTGCGCACGGGGCACTGGCAGTTGGACATAATGGAGAATTAGTCAACACGGAGTCTCTTCGAAAAATGGTAATACGAAGGAAAAATTTATATTAATAATCCTTGTCGATCGAATCTGAATTCCATTTTGATCTCATATGTATGTTCAGGTATTAGGTCGAGGCGTTGGTTTATCAACGCATTCGGACTCGGAGCTTATAACACAAGCGCTCTGCTTGAATCCGCCGGAAGGTGAAGTCAATGGACCAGATTGGCCTGCACGTATCAAACATCTTATGCAATTGGCACCGTTGTCATATTCCTTAGTCATAATGCAGAGGGACAAAATTTATGGTGTAAGAGATCCTTATGGAAATCGACCTCTTTGTTTAGGGAAAATTGTGCCAATTGGCAATTTAGGTGCATATTGAAATATCAATAAAAGTAAATGTCTATTTTAATGATTCTTTAATATTAATGCAAAATAATAACATGAATTGCAGCAAGTAACGAGTCTGATGACGATGACGATGAAGCAGAAGGCTGGGTAATTTCGTCGGAATCTTGCGGATTCTTAAGTATCGGTGCAAGATATGTTCGCGAAGTATTTCCTGGCGAAATTGTGGAGCTGACTAGAGAAGGTATTAAAACTATAGAAATAGTGGAAAGGCCAAATAAAAAACCACAGGCATTTTGTATTTTTGAATACGTCTACTTCGCTCGGAGCGACAGCATTTTTGAAGGTACGTAATAAGAATGACAATATAGCGCGATAGAGAGACATGTTTAATTATGTATTCATTTATAATATAGGTCAAATGGTATATTCCGTTCGTATGCAATGTGGACGAGTGCTAGCGATGGAATCCCCGGTTGAAGCAGATATAGTCAGTTCTGTACCAGAATCGGGAACTGCAGCGGCACATGGATACGCCAGACAAGTAAATGCAAATAAAATCAGCAATATAATTGCTGAGCAAATATAAGAATGTGCAATTTATGTCTAAATAATACTTTTTTCTTTTTAATGTTACAGTCTAAGATACCTTTCGCTGAAGTGCTGTGCAAAAACAGATACGTAGGTAGAACATTTATTCAACCTAGCACGCGACTGAGGCAGCTTGGAGTAGCCAAGAAATTCGGAGCTTTGTCTGAGAATGTAAAAGGAAAAAAAATAGTTCTCATTGATGATTCTATCGTTCGGGGAAATACAATCGGTCCCATCATTAAATTGTTAAGGGATGCAGGCGCTAAGGAGGTAAGTTTTCTTAATATTTTTTCTATTTATATTTATTAGTATATTCGTCATGTCACATTTACAGGTTCATATCAGAATAGCCTCGCCACCGCTGAAATATCCGTGTTACATGGGCATCAATATTCCAACGAGAGAAGAACTTATCGCGAATAAGCTTGACAGTGTAAAATTGGCCAAACATGTGGGAGCAGATAGTTTAACGTACCTTTCAGTTGAGGGGCTTGTCGAGGCGGTCAGGTATCGCATGGACAATCGCGAAAGTAATTACATCGGTCACTGTACTGCCTGCTTAACGGGAGAGTATCCAGACGAATTACCTGGTGACCTCGACTGGTAAAAACGCATGATTTTTTCTAAAATCAAACAAAACTCAGGTATCTGAAATAAAATAACGATATGTAGCATTCTGCAATGTACGATTTAACAAAGTGTTATATTACCCTTTCGTTAATACACAGGTTCACACCGACATTTTTTACAGCTATAAAACTAATCCTAAAATGAATACTTTAATGCTGTTATCCGCTTGTAAAAAAAGTTGGGGTCACTGCACTTTGCATAAATACTTTTAGTATCCTTCAAACAATAAAATTATCTATTTTTAATATTAGATAAAAAATAAGTTTTGAGAAATTTCAAAAAATAATACATCTTAGTTTTAATAAATTTTTTATTAATATAATGTTTTTCGACATTATCGCTAAAGCAAAGTTCCTCACCTTTTTTTCTTTAAATTGAAAAATTTTTTTAAATTGAAAAAACATCAAGTTAACTTTATTATAAACGGAGTGATGAATCGCCAAAGTTGCACGATGCAGATTCGTATATGCTACATAAAGGTCACGAAAGATGTGTGTAAACGAAAGATTATTGTAGAATAGATGTGT